GGTATAATCTTCTCCTATTACTTTTGGTTCAGATTTGGTTCAGTTCATGGTTCAAGATTGATCATTGAAAGCATGATTTTCTAAATAGGGAATGCGATTCCCAGTTGAAAGGGAGAGAAAAATTTTTGAAATTCGCCCCTTTATTCCACAAGATTTGGGCGTCCATACGATGGATCTCTCATCCCTTCATACACTGCCTTTAGTTCAGCTGTAGTGGAATCAGCCATACCTATAGGGCCTGAGAACAGCCCCACTACAATCCCCTTGTCATCCTCTGATTCCAGATCTTCCCGGGTTGCCAAGGCTGCTTCCATCAAAGTTTATTTTGAGGAAACCTGATTCAAGGGGGTCCCATTCCTTTAGGACCTTCTTCTTAACATCTGAAGATGAAGCAACTTCTCTCCAGTTCCTGATTATATCATCCATTGTAAAGTCTGAAAATAATTTCAGTGATTTTACCCATGATGTTACCTTTATCATAATCTTTTCAATTAGTTCTTCTTTGCATCTTTTCTTTTCTTAAAAAATTCTCAAGTTTTTTTCCTCCCACAGCACCCAAATTAGTGCTGCTCTTGTGCATCTCAATAGTGCTCTCCCTCTTCTTTTTGTAGAAGAGTCAAACAGCCTTTCCAAGGTCATCGGAGTATCCCACCTACATCCATAAAAATAGAAGAACCAATCCCAAATACTGCTAGCAATAGGACAGGAGACAAGGATATGATACAGTCTCACCATTCGGCTCACACAAACAGCACCAATTAGGTGACAGGCACCGACCATATCAGTTTTAGTTCTGTTTCTTCACAATCCTTGTACAGTGTTTTTTCAGTTGTGAGACTCTTGCCTTTGTTATGCTCTTTGTTTTTTTTTTGGATCAAAAGTATTTCATGAATGTGTAATATCAACTGCAAGCAGAACACAATGTTTTGTTAGTGACAGGTGTGTCAACCTCACTGATTTTATTGTTGCCTGTTTTCTTCTGTTTTGATGATTTTAAATTGCAGCTTCCTTATTGATATCCTGTTAGGATTGGCTATGCAGTCTCCATCACTGAACTTTTTTGTTTCCAGAATCATTATTTTGGTTCCCTGGAACAATTAGATTGATACGCCACATTCTTCAGGGCAAAGAAGGAGCACAAAATTATGTAGGCCGGATCTTGGAGTTTTTCAAAACAATGGAGGGTGGAGATTATTTTAGAGTGCAATGGTTCTTTAGAGCAGAAGATACGGTGGGAAACTGATAGTATTGAATTTGATTATGACATTTTTTCTTAATCTTGATTCTTACACTTTGTATGCATTATACAGGTCATGAAAGATGAAGCCACCTTCCATGACAAGAAGCGACTATTTTATTCTGATTTAATGAATGACAATTTATTAGATTGCATTGTTTCAAAAGTCAAGATCGTACAGATGGCACCTAGTGTATGATGCTTCAATCTCTAATTTTATTATGTAAACTGAAAACTCTCCTTTATGTTTGCCTTTTTTTAATGCTTTCTTTATTTTTTGTTTTATTTTCTATTTTGTTCTTTTTCTCTTCCTTTTTCCCCGAGAGAGCCATGCTAGGAATTATAACTATTTTTTTTTGATAAGTAACAAGAAAGTATTTATTAATATGAACAGAATAATATGTACAATGTCAAGCTTCCCATGGGGAGGCAGGTAAATCTACTTATCTATATCACCCATAAGTAAGCAATTACAGTTGAGCCCAATATAAATAACCCTCTATTGACTACTTGCTTAGCTAAAGTATCAGCCAACCCAGTTGTGGCAATAGGTATCCGTTGAGTTTTAATCTCCATGTTTCCTGTTAATCAATTTATCTGCTTTAATACCTCTCTACGAGTCCAAACTGTTTTCTTCTCATATCTTAACTAACCAACGACTACCTGAGAATCCCCTTCAATGATTACTCTCTCCATATTCATTTCTTTCGCTTTTTGTACCCCATATAAAAAACCATTAGTTCAGCCCTGGTGAATCTCCCAATCCTACTGGACCTGAGAACAGTGGCCAAGATGTGACCTCCCTTATCCCTAAAGACTCCTCCCACACCTGAGGGGCCTGGGTTTCCAAAGCTACTGCCATTAAAAATTAACTTCATGAAGCTGCCTTCAGGTGGTTCCCATTCTTTATGCATTTTCCTTTTTCTTGATGATGATGCAACTATTTCCGTCCACTTCCTTATAACATCATCTTTTGAGTAAGGTGCCATGAGAATATTTCACCCAATGATTTTCCCCAATGATTACCCTTGTGATGATACATTCCAACATCATTTCCGTGTTTCTTTTCTTTTCATCAAATGTTCTTGCATTGCTTTCTTCCCATACTGCCCATAGGATTGCAGCCCTTGTGCATCTCCACAGTATTCTTTCTCTTTTCCTCGGCCATCTGAAGGCAACAGCCTCAAACAAACTGGCCAAGCTAGTAGGCAAAGTCCACCCGCACCCAAATAGAGAAGTGAACCATTCCCAAATAAAGGTAACAAATGGGCAGGAGATTAGTAGGGGGTAACCAGTCTCACCATTAACCTTACAGAGTATGCAACATTTAGTGGATAAAGAGGCATTGTTCCTTCTCTTTTAAAACACATCTTGAGTATTAATCTTCTCATGATGAACCTCCCAGAAAAAGAAGCTTCAGAGAACAGGAATTCACCAGACTTAATGTACAGGTAAAGGAGGAGAGATGACATGTGAAGGAGTGAGGACTCAAAAAAAAGTACAGGAAAAAGTACCCATAGGGTTGGTAGTCTAAAATCCTCACATTAGGCTTAGATGGGTCTAACACCACCTTCTCAAGAGTTCGCAATAACTCAGAGACATTTGAACATTCAGCTTCCCTCAAACCTCTTCTAAAACCCAAATCCCAAGCTATCCTATCAAATAGGGGAGTAAAAGAGAGAAATTTTGAAATATGCTCTTTCTTGAAATGAGGAAAAGAATACGAATTTGGGAAAAGATCTTTGATAGGCAATTCACCCACCCATAGGTCTACCCAAAATAAAATTTTGTTCCCAGAGTAAACATTATACCTGAAAAAGTTAAGGAACAATGGAAAAACAACTTGAATAGCTATCCAAGAGAATCCGAAGTAGCGCGAAAGGATACAAAAACTCTGTTCAAGGATCTTCTCTACCTACCACATGAATGAAACTCTCCTCCATTCTGCCTTTTTATCCTACAATCATTCTGGAAAAAAAGCATTGCAGTTTTTTCATAGGAGGTAGTGAGGAGGGGACCTTAAAAGAAGGCAGTTTAAGCTTGGAATATTTTACCTCAGGAAATGGGGAGAGTTCATGCAGAAATCAATGCTTTTGAGCTTGGAATTTTGTACCTCCTAGGAAATGGGGAGAGTTCGTGCAATTATAACTATTTTTTAACTTTATCGTTTTCTAATTTCTTGCAACTTAGAAGGCATATCTATTCCTTTTTGTTAGTTGTTTGTATACCATGTATTTTGTTGAATTCAATAGTAACTTGGTTCTTTGTGGCAGGTAGATTTGAAACCAAGATACATGCCACCGTGTGACTTATATTACGATATGAAATACTCAGTGGACTATTCCACATTTACTACTATTTTAGATGGTATGTTCATTATAGTGGTTTGAAACGTAAGTTACAATGTTGTGAATTATTTGTGTTATCAATTTATTGATATGATAAAAAAAAAAGATGGAGAATTTTAGGAGAAAGAGGGAACAGGCTTGGATGTGTGAATGAAAATCTATCTTTAATCTTGTTCAAAGAAAGAAGAATACAATGACTTTAATACCCTCATTAGAGTATGTAATAGAATTACGCTTTTGCAGCACTCACACCATATCTATTGATACTTCCTCTCAAGCTGGTTTTTAAATATCACAAATGCCAAGCTTGGCAAGTGCATTAGAAAATTTTTTCATGGCAGGAGAATCAAGCGTAACAGTGAATGCCATAGCCAATAGCAATCCGGGCGCATGGAAATATAGGGAACCTATTAAGGAGTATCAGAAGTTGGTAAGAGAGTTCAGAGTTCAGGTTGATGGATCTCAAGGGAGGGAAACAATTTGGTAGACATTCTAGCTAAGCCAGGGGTACACAGGACCAATGTATATTGGGGGATAACCATTGGAGATGCAACTAACTAGAATGTTTGCATAAAGGGTTTATTTGGGTTGGTTTCAGACACCTGCAGGGATCTTTGGTGCTGTTGGGAAAGCACACTCTTGTATGCTTACATTCTTTTTCTATAAATAATAAAATTGGCAGTTGTGGTCGCTCGTGGTGATTGAGAGAGAGAGAGAGAGAGAGAGAGAGAGAGAAAGAGAGGTACGGATGAGAGGAGAAAAAATCAGTACTGGCTGTCGCCAGTTTTCTATTTATATTAATCTTTATAAAAGAGATGCAATTACAAGTATGCCCCT